GTGGTGTGGCTTTTGGGCACGGCAGGGGAAGGACACTGTAAAATCTACATTCCCTCCCCACTCCTGGGGGAAGGATACTGTAAAATCCCCATTCCTTCCCCTGACCCCTGTAATCTGCTTTCCAGCTCCGTTCTCCTGTGCTGGGCAACAAAAGAAGACCCAGCCGATCAGCTGGGACTTGGGAGGCAGAGAATAGATGGGGGCAGGGCCAGTCAGAGGTGGGATTTGCCGGTTCTTTGAGCTACTCCCAAATTTCTGCTACCGGTTCTCCAGAACTGGTCAGAATCTGCTGAATACCACCTCTGCCATGGAGGCCGAAAATGGGCCTCACGGGGCTTCTGTACAGCCCGTTTTTGGCCAGCAAAGTGCTGCAGGAGGCCATTCAGGCCAAAAACAGGGCAGACAGGGTCGCGCAGGGCCTCCCTATGCCCCGTTTTGGCCAGCAAGTTGCTGCACGAGGCGTCCATCCTGTCTCCTCACCCCCTCTCCACCCTCTCCCTCAGTGGCCCCACTGAGGAGAATTACAATGCTGATGCGGCCCTCGAAGAAATCCAGTTTGACACCCCTGGGATAGAGAGAAGATGGCCTAAGACCGTCCCTAGCGATGGATGCTTTGTTTCTTACTGCTGTTTTTGTTCTATCTGCAGCCATGTGGGAGCATCACCCCGAAACGGCTGAGATTGCAGCGTTGCAGGAAGCTCATCGCCGAGAAGACAAGCAGGGCTCCGCGGAGGAAAACGAGTGGGAGGAAGAGGAGGAGGACGAAATCTCCAGTTCGGGAGAGGAAGAGGACGAAGAGAAAGACCGGGATGCCGATGAGGAAGGCGAAGAGGAGGAGCCCCCCTCGGCCCCCAAGAGTGGGCCCAGCCAGTCCGCCCCTCCCAGGAAGGGAAAGATACCCACTCAGAACTTGTTCGCTTTGCTTGGGGAGGATGAATGTTAGCCGCTTCCCCTGTTGGACTGAGGGACGGGTGATAGATTTGCCCAGCCCAACCCAGCCGCCCTCCCCCGCTGTGCATTCCCCAGCTCTGGAGCTGCCGCTGTGTATCAATAAAGGTGATGTTTATTTCCTGGCCCATCTTTGTGGCTGTGGAGAGATGAATTAGGAACACATCTGTAGCCTGTTTGCTCTGAACTCTTTTGTCATAGTGTCAGCATTCCAGCAAACCTCCATTCCAATCAGTAACTCCGAGATATAATCTCAAAAGCACCTTTATTAGAATAGCACCTGGCACATCTGCGGAATCCCGAATCTAAAAGTTTTTTTTTGGGCTTCACACAATTTCCCAAACTATAAATCCATCCCCCACCCCCCTTGGCCGTCATGACATCACATGGCCCGATCACGATCCGTCCAAAAGTAAGATCCTTATTTCATCCTGCGCCATACTCAATGACCTTACAAAAGAATTTTATCTACTTAAAGCTGCTTGATTGAAATCACCCCCCTCCCACTTTCTCAGGCTATGTGGCAGCATGGAATATGGCTTCCAAAACTGACACCGGGTCCTCATTTTACCGACCTGGGAAGGATGGAAGGCGGAGTCATCCTTGAGTCGGGCAGGGCAGTCGGCAGAATTAGCCTGCAATACTGTATTCTAACCACTGCACCACCATGGCTACAAGCAGAACGGCGAGTTATTGCCCATCACTTACATAGGTTGACCACTGTTGGAGATTCTCAGTCATTCTCAGAAATGTATGTGTAATCCTCAACTTACAAACAGTTCGTTTAGCGACTATTCAAAGTTACAGTGGCACTGAAAAAAGCCACTTATGACCATTTTTCACACATACGACCACAGCAGCATCCCCGGTCATCTGATCAAAATTCAGACACTTGGCCGCTGACTCATATTTATGACGGTCCCACTGTCACATGATTACTTTCGGTGACCTTCTGACAAGCCAAGTCAATGAGGAAGCCAGGTTCACTTAACGACCGAGTTACTAACTTAGCAACTGCAGAGGTTCGCTTAAAAGTTGTGGCAAGAAAGGTAAAATGGGGCAGAATTCAACAAGGGTCTTACTTAACAACAGAAATCCTGGTCTCATTTGTGGTCATACGTTGAAGATTCCCTGTATGTCCAGCCAGGATCATCTGCACATTCAGCAAAAATGGTCGTAAGCTCAAGGAAACGGAAGGCTTTGCAAAAGTACAACCATCTTTAGGTTTAAAAAGTGTGTTGGGAGAGAAGGAATTTTTTAAATAATTCTTACCACCCAAAGTACTCCAGTGAAAATGAAGTCTGCCCTGGATAGGGAATACAGGTAGTCCTCTACTTACGACCACAACTGAGCCCAAAGTTTCCACTGTGAAGTGAGACAGTTATTGAGTTTTGCCCCATTTTATAACCTTTTTTGCTACCGTTGTTAAGTTAGTAACCCGGCTGTTAAGTGAATCTGGCTTTCCCACTGACTTTGCCTGTCACAAGGTCACAAAAAGGGATAACATGACCCTGGGACACTGCAACCATCATAAATACGACCCAGGTGCCAAACATCTGAATTTCAATCACGTGATCATGGAGGTGTAACAGGTGTAAGGGTGAAAAACAGCAATAAGCCACTATTTCATTGCCTTTGTAACTTTTTATAATCCCTAAATCAGTGGTTCCCAACCTTTTTTTCGCCCCGCACCCCTAAAGAAATTTCACTCGAACCTCGCACCCCCTGAAATAAATAATAAAAATGCCAACATATAGCCAATATCCTATTATTTACCTGGACTTTTCTCACACCCCCTGGAATATCGTCTCGCACCCCCAGGGGGTGCAAACACCCCAGGTTGGGAACCCCTGCCCTAAATGAACCGTTGTAAGTCAAGAACCACTTGTACTAGTTTCACCAAGTGGGGCAGGAAAGAGAAATCGGGTGGGATAGAATAACATAATAACACATAATCAGAGATGGAAGGAACCTTATAGGTCATCTAGTCCAGCCCCCCACCCAAGCAGGAGACCCTACACCATTTCTGACTGATGGCAATCCAATCTCTTCTTGAAAGTCTCAAGTGATGGAATGGAATGGAATGGAAAATGGCACGATTGGTTGGCATTCAGAGTGAAATGTCCACCCTACCTGTAAAAGTCCTGCTTCCGATTTAACAAAAGGTTATAACAGTGTTGGAAGGGACCTTGGAGGTCTTCTAGTCCAACCTCTTGCTCAAGCAAGAAACCTTATACTATTCCAGAGAAGTGGCTGTCGAATCTTGTGTTAAAAGCCTCCAGTGATGGAGCACCCGCAACTTCTAGTAAGATGTTCCACTTGTTAATTGTTCTGTCAGGCAATTTCTTCTAAGTTCTAAGCTGGTTCTCTCCTTGATTAGCTTCCACCCATTGCTCCTTGTCTGGCTTTCAGGTGCTTTGGAGGATAGACTAACCCCCTCTTCTTTGTGGCAGCCCCTCAAATATTGGAACACTGCTATCTTGTCACCCCTTGTCCTTTTCACTAGATTAGATGTACCCAATTCCTTCCCAGCAATATAAATTTGGAATTCCCATTTCAAAGTCCAGTGGGAATACCCAATTCCACTTACATTGCTTTCCATGGCAGTTACTGTATTTAATATAGTGCATCCGTGGTTCACTTTATGGAAAAGAGATTTGTCTGTGGTGGTTACTCCCATATAATCTGACTTTATCTCTCACATTTAATGCAAGCTATACACATAAAAGGTTCTATCCCAAATGATGAAATGCAATTTGGTTGCTAAATGAGGCCGAAGGAATGAAGGCATACTTTGGTGTGATCTGGTGTGACCAGAAGACTAAAACTAAAAAACCAAGATAAAACCAGATTAATGGGTCAAATGACAACACGTTAATTCCGTGCTCTTAGATTTTAAAAAAATTCCATTTGTGTGAATCAATTTTCAGCAGTCCTAACTCCTGAGGGAGTTGCAGCAATGTGAAATGGAGGTAAGTCCTCCATCATCCCAAGTTAAAAGCGACATTAGATCATTATCTTTCTTATACCTGTTGCTAACCATTCTCAGACGAAATGCTTGTAACCAAGTGAATTTTCCAAGAGTGGCATTTTTTCATGTGAACTGTCTTGACAGCAATTGCCAGGTAAATAATGCATTAGTCATCATCTTTTGTCTTCTGGCCTGCCTGGATATAGGACAAAATTCTAAAGGCAGCACTAGCCTAATTTATGCTAAAACTTCAATTATCCCTTTTCAAAATCAACACATTGTAATCTATAATCTGCGCAATTGTTAAGTACAGTGATGGTGAGTGGACCTATGACACACGTGCCAAAGATGACATGCCATGACATTTTCAGTGACATGACTGTTCAACACCCAACAACATCTATTCTCTATTTTTAAGTCACAGTAGAACACAGGCAAACAAGCAAGTTTTGTCTTTTTAAAAAAATAGATTACATTTATTTTGCACTGAAATCCAAGATTTTTTCTTTTTTTAAAAAAAGCTTCGTTAGTATTAAGATACAGAATTACAATATACATTTACAAGAGCAGAGCAAAGTTTGGAAAGCAATACTGGTGGTGTTCCAGGTCACTGTAAAACAAGGCAGTAGAAACAGACCTTAGGCAGTACCATTTCCCCCGAAATATGACCTACCCTGAAAGTAAGTCCTAGCTTGATTTTTACATGTGTGCTCAATATAAGCCCTACCCCCCAAAATAAGCCCTAATTAAGTTCCCGTTCACTCCAGAGTGCACGGGTAAAAATTAAGCTCGGGTGGGGATGGGGGGTGGAGCTGCCCTACTACTTACCTTGGACAGTTATACCCAGGCCTTGCACACCCAACACCTGCTTCTCTGGCCCATTTCTTCTGCAGCCAGAAAGGCTGGTAAGGCTTTTCTGAAAGCCTCTGTAGCTGATAACAAAGCTCTGGATCGATCCAGAGCTCTTATCCGCTGCAGAGGCCTTCAGAACAGCCTTGCCGGCTGCAGAAAAAGTACAGTAGTTCTTGAAGGCCTCTGACAGAGAAAAGGAGGCTGGGGGCGACATGCACAAATGAGGTTAGTCAGTGAATGACGTCCACCCAAAATAAGACCTGGTGCCTTTTTGGGTGGCAAAAAAAATAAGACAGGGTCTTATTTTCGGGGAAACACGGTAGCAGCTAGAAATTTTAACTTTCCTCTTCTGATTCCTGTACCTTTAAAAAAAGTAAGAATTACAACAAAATAGACATTTGGGCACAGGGAGGAAGGAGGCATTTTACTTCTAGAGTGATGGAACACGTTTGTTCTATTTATTATCACATTCTATTCATCAGATCTGTGCAATTTATAATTAAAAATATATGTTCCATTGTAATGTTCCGTACAGGAAGTTGAAGAATTTTTCTGCTAAGTAGTTAAAGTGCCCACAACTTCCCCAAACTGGTGCCCACCGTGCCAACCTATGGGGTGAAACAAGATTTCCACAGGAGCATCATGATAAAAGTCCTGTCCCTTTATACATCTGTACACATCTACAAAAGGACTTAGCTTTTTTGACCCTTCCTATTGATGCTGCTGGATGGCCCCCAGATGTGATTCTATGTGACATGATGATGATGAGAGGAGAGCCATAACTCAATGGTCTATTTCTCAACCTTAGCAACTTGATGTTTAGACTTCAATTCCCAGAATTCCCTCGGTAGCATGTTGGGGAATAACAAGGATAACTGTATCTGAGAACTCTAACATGGGCAATGTTTCTATTAATCAAGACAATCTTTTAAAAGAACACGAATGAAAGATTTGGAAAATCCTGTAGGAAAATCTAATACTAAGATATTAGTATTAGCATTTGGACTGAAATCTTTTTGATTTCTGATTTTTCTTCTATGATCCAAGGAAGTTTTCACCTCAGGAACAAGGCACCTTTGCAACAGTAATTAAGCGGCTTAAACCATCACAAACACACTGTATACTTATATTGAAGAAATGCATCTATAATCCCTTAATAACATATTCCTCCAAATAAGTGCACTTGGCTGCTAATATTTTTTTAAAAATTAATTATTTGCATGTTGAGGTTAAAATGCTATGATTAAGAATTGTGGCAAGAGGTCAGTAAAAGCTCCTTTGAAATAAATAAAAACATGCTATTAATTTCAGAAGGACCCTTTTAAACATTCTCTTAGTCAAAGCAGGCCATTAAAGCGCTAAAGAGCAGTTCCTCCTCTTTTTTTTTTAATTCAGAAGGGGTTGCTATCCTCTTGCAAACATATTCTAGAGATGCCTCTTTTCACACATTTGTTTAACCAACTTCTTGCTCTCCACACAACCGTCCAACCTAGAAGCTGGCCAATTATAGCTAGATTTCAACCATTATTAAGAATTCTCAGAGTAAGAGAAAAATTCATGATCAAAACGGATCTCCATAATATTCTAAGGTGGGATCAACCCAGGCATTGGCTATTCCAATCTTCTCCAGTAAGATCCTAAACAGCACCTCTGTTACATGATCTACAATACGAGTAGAACTTAGTGTGTTTCAGTCTACACTATCCCAATTTGACATTCTCCAAATATTTCAAGTCTAAAACCCCCAACATCTTTATCTAATACTGCTGTGGAGGACAATGAAGTTCCAATCCATAATAATGGAGAACACTAGCTTAGGAAAGATTCTTTTCGGGAGTTACAAGAGACTTGGCCCAGTAGATAAACAAATTTTTGGGTGGTAGCTCTTCAAGTCCTTTTTATATAAAAGCACAATCAAGATATGGCGTATTATTCAGTGCTTTGTAAGCAGGGACCTGGCAAAGTTTGACACCCGCCCCCCCACAAAAGTCAGACCCCACCCCTGCAACTAAAACAGGTACCTATCCGACCGTTACTCAATTGTCCTTGTAGTCTGAGGGGCCATTTTGAGCCAACAAGCGCCCATATGCTGCCTCTTCCCGGGAGAAGATTTGGAACTTCTTGTCCAGCTGGGCACGGAGGTAGAGGTAATCCTGTTCATCCAGGCTGTGAGCGCAGGTAAGATAGATCGTGAAGAGGGAGGCCAGAAGCAGGCGGTCAAGGGAGAGGCAGGGAACAGCCCAGAGGATAAGAAGAAACTCCACGTACAGTGGGTGACGAAGGTGGGAGTAGAGACGGAGAGCCCGTGAAGACTTCACAGCCAAAGGGTCTCCCATGCCCAAGCAATAGTAATAAACCTGGGGAATGAAATGAGAGCAACATCTGTTTACTGGGAGGCTGTCAGCTTTGGAAGCCATATTAGCACCAGATGATCCAAAACAGGAGGGGGGGGAATTTCTTGGAGTGTATGTGGTTAGACATAATAGCATTTTTCTTCGATGTCAAGGTCATGTTATTTCTGCACCGGGTTGGGAGGACGTCTCAAGCTGGGATGGACGGTGATTGGGGCATGTGATGCAATGAGGGGTGCAGGGGATGGATTTGTAGTTTTTACTTATTGCAAAGAAACCCGGAACTTTCAGATTCGGGATTTTCCAGATGCGCCAGTTTAATACTCTAATAAAAAGAACTTTGGAGAGGATGTCTGCCTCGGAGTTATTTATTGGAGGGCAGGTTTTCTGGAACACTGACAGAGGCACTCCCAGATTTTAACATACGTCCAAGGCAGCCTTGGGCTCTCTGAAGATTCTAGAGGAACAAATGGCTTCCCATTTGTAGCACAACGCTGAGTACAGATAGTCCTTGACTTAATGACCACAATGGAGCCCAACATTTCTGTTGCTAAGTGAGACAGTTATTAAGTGAGTTTTGCCCCATTTAATGACCTTTCTTGCCGCAGTTAAGCGTATCACTGCAGTTGTTAAGTTGGTAAAATGGTTGTTAAGTGAATCTGGCTTCCACATTGACTTTGCTTGTCAGAAGGAGATCACATGGCCGCCCAGGGACGCTGCAACCACCATAAATATGAGTCAGTTCCCAAGTGTCTGAATTTTGATCACATAACCATCGGGATGCTGTGAGGGTCATGAGTGTGAAAAATTGTCCTGAGTTACTTTTTCAGTGCTGTTGTAAACGGTCACAAAATGAACTGTTGTAAGATGAGGACTATCTGTACTTCCCCCACCGACCCCCTCAAGGCCTTAGGGCACGTTCATAGTTGAACTCCTTTCCTTCCCTTCCAGATGTATTGTTTGCGGGGTCCTTGGTACTCTCTGACTTGGGTTGTTTTCTTGCAGATGTTTTATTACCTAGTTCAGTAACATCTTCAGTGCTAGAAGGGAGTGGGGTTTATATATAGTGCCTTGGCCTGTCAGTCTTGGTGGGAGTCAGCGGTGGGATTCTACCAATTCGCACCAATTCACTAGAACCGGTTGTTAACATTCTAAGTAGTTCGGAGAACCGGTTGTTAGAAGAAATTACTGTCCTAATCCTGTAAGGAAGGCAGGAAGGAAACATTCTGGTGTTGCTTACGGAAACTGCCTCTCTGTTAACCCTTATTGCATTCTTGGCAGGACTAGACTTCCTGTCTCAGGAGATGTGTACCTCGATGTGAGTAATATTGAGTTGGCCACACCCAGCCAATAACATGACCACCAAGCCATGTCCACTGAGTCACATGACCACCAAGCCACGCCCACTACCTAAGCCACACCCACAGAACCGGTTGTTAAAAATTGTGAATCCCACCCCTGGTGGGAGTGGTTTCTTCTTGGTAGTTCCTTATTTATGCTGGTGACCTTCTACTGCTGCACTATAGGGTATCCTAACTTACTGCACCTCTGTATGGTTTGCCAATTGCACAGTGGCAGATAGGAAAGCACTCCAGAGGGTTAATGTCATTGCCCAGAAGATCATTGGTTGCCCTCTCCCCTCTTTGGAAGAGCTTTATAGCTCCCGCTGCCTTAAGAAAGTTCAAAACATTCTCAAAGATCCATCTCATCCTGGGCACCTTTTTTTTTTAACTATTACCATCTGGCACACGGCAGAGAATAATAAAAACAAGGACAAATAGTCTGAAAAACAGCTTCTATCCCAGAGCAGTAACTCTATTGAATTCTACTGTATAGTGCAGTGTTGGTGCGGTGTCGGGGGTTTCTAATTCAATGTGTGGAGTGCGAAGGAAGTGTGTTTGTGTTTATTTTCATGGTCACGATGTGCACTGAAGATGGTGTTTGATTTCGTTGTACGAGGTGCAATGATAAACTAAACTCGCTGTTGTATATACTGTTTGACTGTCTGCAAGAAAACAACCAAGCTCAGAGAGCGCCAAGGGCCTCACAATTCAATCTTGTGCTACAAGTATTCTTTTCTATTGGGATGTACTGTCTGTTACAGAGAGCTCTATTTAATATTTTATTCACTCTCACTTTTTAAGTGTAAGCCACTCATAGGCATCTGGACTAAGGTGGCTTCTAAATTTCATTAAATAAAAAAAAAGTGATGCTTGGGGGGAAACGTTAACACACACACACCCTCAGAAGATAACATCAGATGCTGGGTTCAACATATTTCTATTTATCAAACTACACTATACTGCAGCCTGCAGCCTTGGTCACCAAACAGAGAAACAGGAAGGAGGGGAAAAGAATACAAACACAATACCTGCTTGACCCCCATCAGTTCTGCATAATCAAAGATGAGAATGATGCTAAAGATGATTAGCCAGGAGATGAAATGAAGGACAAAGCAGATGAGTGGAACCCAAGTGATCCATGGCTCGGTGTTTGTGTTCCACAGCATAGGACCATCCTGTACTGGCTGCCAATACCTCATCAGCAACTATGTTAAAAGGGAAAAAAAATTACATTAATAGCAAGCACTGCAAAGATATTTAACATGACTGCATGTGAGAAACTCCAGGGTTCTCAAAACTCAAGGCCTGTGGGCTAGATCTGGCCCATGGGGTGCTTAGATCTGGCCCGCGAGGCCACCCTGGAAACAGCGAAGGACTAGCCTGCAGTGCCTCTGCCAGTGAAAACGGGCTCCCAATCTCCGTTTTCAGCTGGGACGGTCTCCTGCAACTCTGTTCCAGTGAAAACAGAGCTCAGGAGCGCCCTCCTGGCAGAGGGTTGTAGGAGGCCATCCCAGCCGAAAATGGAGATTGGGAGCCCGTTTTTGCTGGCAGAACATTCGGGCCGCCACGAGTGACATCAAGCTGGCCACGTCCACCCCGGCCCTCTGAGGTCAAACACAACCCTTGTTATGTATATGTAAATAACATAGTTGGACTGACAATATATAAGCTACAAATACATATGTTTGTAGCTTTAAGGCAAAATACTGCAATGTATTATGCTATGTTCTGTTGATTAATTATGCTACAAGTTGCCATAAGAGGGAGCTATAGATCATGGTTTAATTCTCTTTCTCTTTTTCACTGATGATCTCTCTTAATACTGTACTTACACTGACAGACTACGGACCGATACTGACTAACTGTTTATTTTGGTATTCTGTTGATATCGAAGGTTATCTGTTGTATTGTGGTTTGATATTTGTCTGCTGTAAAAGACATGAAACCAGTAAGAAGACTTTATAACTGGATATTTCTGGACTGTTAAAAACGTGCATGACATGGACTGTTTATTGGACTGTGCAATTTCTTCAAATAAACATTAATACCACTTGTTCAACTCTGTGTGGCTGTACATTTATTCATAACTATTCTCATAAACCGTTTCCGTGTGCATATCCTTTTAATACAAGGGTCACTCTGCACATATCCTAACAACCCTGATGCAGCCCTCAATGAAATCCCCGTTCTAACTTTCTGCTCAGACAGGAGTCCCTATACCAGTGATGGCTAACCTTTTCGTCGTCGCATGTCAAAAGTGTGCATGTACGCATGCGCACACATGCCTGCACCCATAATGCAATGCACACTGACTCCCATGCCCCCCCTGCACATGCGTGCATGACCCCCTGCGCCCCACTCCTCTGTGCATGCGCATGCGTCTCCCACGTACACCCCGCCTCTCATGCATGCGTGGCAGATACCCGCCAGGAGGCGTGTGCGCATGCGCGGTGGATCTGATCCAGGGCGACAGCTTGTGTGCTGGCAGAGATGGCTCTGCATGCCACCTGTGGCACGCTTGCCATAGGTTCTCCCTATAACCATTTCAGACAAAGGGTCACTCAATCTCTTCTTAAAGACCTCCAGTGTTGGAGTACTCACAACCTCTGGAGGCGAGTTGCATTTTACAAAACGATGCAAGTTTAAACGCAAGTTAAAATGATAATCTTTATATTATCTTTTTTTTTTTAAATGCCCATTTCTCTTAGCTGAGAAAGAAACTCAATTTATATTTTGCAACATAATGAAGAATTAAAGGCTCAAGCTTTTACAGGTAGTCCTCAACTTATGAGCCCGGAATTTTGGTGATAAGTCATTGCAGTCGTGAGTCGAGTCACCGTGTGACTGCACTCAACTTTTACCACTGTGGTCAAGCAAGTCACCATGGTTGTTAAGCAAACCACATGATCATGACTGTCAATCCAGCTTATTATATAGAGCCTCAGTGGCACAGTGGTTAGAGTGCAGTCCTGCAAGCTACTCCTACTGCAATTTGGCAGATTGAATCTCACCAGGCTCAAGGTTGACTCAGCCTTCCGTCCTTCCGAGGTGGGTAAAATGAGGACCCAAATTGTTGGGGGCAATAGGCTGACTCTGTAAATTACTTAGAGAGGGCTGTAAAGCACTGTAAAACGGTAAATAAGTCTAAGTGCTATTGCTATTATCCAATGGATGCTTCTGCTGGAAAATGACAAAAAAAAAATCACAAAAAGCAATCAAGCGACCATGGGATGCTGCAACCAGTTATAAATGCAAGCTGGTTGCCAAGCATCTAAAATGTGATTGCAAGGTTGTGAGGGTGGTGCAACAATTGTAACTTCAAAAGGAAGTTGGTAACTTTCCTTGAAGTTTCAATTAAAGTTGGAGTCCATTGTAACTTCAATTGGTGCGCCATCCGTAAGTCGAGCTGTGCCTGTACAGCCTCCCACTTTATTACTCTAAATCAGGGGTCTTCAAACTTGACAGCTTTAAGACTTGTGGACTTCAACTCCCAGAATTCTTCCTCCAGTCATGTTAGCTCAGGAATTCTGGGAGTGAAAGTCCACAAGTCTTAAAGCTGTCAAGTTTGAAAGACCCTGGGTCTAAATCAACCCGCCTACCTGAAGGGATAAGTCTGTGCAAAAAACATAGACCGTTCTCTGCAAGACCCCAAAGCAGTTGCAGGTCCAGTGTTTGACCCGATCAGAAGCCATCAGGCTGTGCTGCAGGACAAAAAGGACGATCAGGCCCACATCCACCGTTAGCGAGTTCAAAATCTTGGGATCTCTTAGGGCCATTTTCCACTGAGGATTCGAGGTGTCACCTGCAAGAGAAAAATGAGGAATCTTACACCCTGTAGACAGCAGGACATAAAACAAGAATTACCAAGGAAGTTTATAAATGTCTACATCAGGGGTGTCAAACTCGCGTTCGGTGAGGGCCGCACCAGGGTTGTGCTTGACCTTGGGTGTGTGTGTGTGTGTGTGTGTGTGCATGGCCAGGGTAGACATGGCCAGCTCGAAGTCACTTGTCCCAGGGTGGCTGTGTGTTCATAGTATTGCAGCGTAAATTCAGCGCCAGAAAAGTAAACACAGATGACTGAGGCTTCATAACTTCTTTATAAACATATGAAGTAAATTTTACAAACCACTTGTAGATTTCTCCAACATGGAGCAAACTCAGACAGAAGCAGACATGTTACAGGTTCAAAGCAGAGCAGCAACTCAACTTCAGCAGACAAGCAAGCAAGTTAGTTTCTCTTTATTTTAGAGCTGAGCACAGAACAGAGATAAACCACGCCCAGATTCTCTCTTTAAGTTTCAGCCCTCATTGGCTGATTTAGTTGCTATGCTTATTCATTGGCTCTGTTAACTATGTCTCTGCTAGTTAATGAATACTCTGACACTGTGGTGGCCCCAAACACTCTGCCAGAGAAAACAGGCTCCCGAGCTCCGTTTTCGGCTGCAGTGGCTTCCTGCAACCCTCTACTAGTGGAAATGGAGTTGGGAGAGCCGCCTGAGGCCCTTGCATGCTCCGTTTTAAGCTGCGATGGCTTCCTGCAACCCTCTGCCAGCAAAAACGGAGCTCGGAAGGTCCGCATGCAGCCCTCCAAAGCTCTGTTTTTGCTGGCAGAGGCACTGAGGGCTGGTCCTTCGCTGTTTCCAGGGCCAGATCTAAGTACTCCATGGTCCAGATCCAGCCCTCTCGTGGGCCTTGAGTTTGACACCTCTGGTTTAGATCAACTTTTCTCAACCTTTTTAACTGAGAGCAGAGTTTTGTCGACTGCAACTTTAAGATGAGTGGACTTCAACTCCCAGAATTCCCCAGCCAGCTAGGAGGCTGAAGTTCACCCGGCTTAAAATGGCTGAGATTGATGAACCCTGCCCTAGAACAGGGGTCCCCAAGACCCAATCCATGGCCCAGTGTTGGGCCGCAGCCCATTTGGAACCGGGCTGCGGAAGCGGTGGGTGACTGCAGGTGTGAAGGTGCATTTGTAAAAACGGCACGGGTGCAAAATCAACCCTTCTCTCCTTCCACCACCCACCGAGCCAGAAAAATTGGAGACCCCTGCCCTAGAGGAACCCTTGAAATACTTGTGAGATCTCAAGAAACCCCTGCATAGAAAAATATTACATCTACAGCTAGCAAAGAGGGGCGCTTTGGGACTACAAAATGAAATCTTGAAGTCTCAGACAGTCCCCAGTCTGTCCAACCCAGTCTGTAGAACTGCTGAGAATGCAGAGAAAGGAAACTGGCTGTCATGCCCCTGGTGGAGACTGACTCTGAGGGAGAGGAGGAACAGCTGACAGGGAGTGGAAGTGTGGCTCTGGAGGTTGGGGAAGGGCAAAGGCCAGCTGGACAGTCAGAGGAGGACCCAGGCCCATCCCCTATCCATCCTAAGGCACGCAAGGAGGAGAGGATATGGGAGAGACCTGGTCTACTTGGGAGGAGGGGGCCTTGATCTTCTTCATGGGCTGCAAGTGCATAAGACTTTGGACCTGCATTCTAGCAAACGCTGGAGTCAAAGCGTGTTTTATTTTGGTTTGAGGTTATCTTGGTTGGCGTCCTTCCAACAAACTGTGCCTTGTTATCTCCTTGAATTTGGTAAATACTTCTCCTGTTCCGTTGTGGAAATTTCATCATTGTAGTAGTTCGTTCGGTTTTTATTTTCACCTCTATCTGCTCATTAAATTTGGACTGTATTGCTTTCTTTTGAAGACTATTTTGAGTACGTTTTATCTCCAACTGAGAATTATTGAACAGTGGGGCCAAGTTGGAGGCATTAAAGGACATTTATTTATGTTTTGGATTTTGTTACATTTGTGTTACACTCTGGGTCTTCACACTGACCATTAGAAATCTGATTCCACCCCCCTCCCTTATATTTTCCAAGTTGCACTTCAAAATCTGGTGGACACAGCTACCTCAGCATCCCGAATATTCATCTCGACTGCAGAAAGCATAAAAGGACTGTAACGTTTGCAATCCAAGGAGAGTAAAACAAGGGAAAATTTTTCACTTTGATGAGCATCAAAATTATGTGCAATTCTTAGAGATAGGAATAGCTTTCTGGGACTGAGTGTGGACTGAAGCCATCGCCTCAAAACCAGCCTTAATCCTTGATCAAATGCCCAGATCTTTAAGCGATAGAAGCGGAATTCTGTCAAAGACGACTTCTAATATTATTGCTGAAAAGTTTTGAGCTAACAGTTATTCAGCAGGAACAGGGGTGGGATTCTACCAGTTCGCACCTATTTGCTAGAACCGGTTGTTAACATTCTAAGCAGTTTGGAGAACCGGTTGTTAGAAGAAATTACTGGCCTAATCCTGTAAGGAAGGCAGGAAGGAAACATTCTGGAGTTGCTTACAGAAGCTGCCTCTCCATTAACCTTTATTACATTCTTGGCAGGACTAAAGACTTCCTGTCTCTGGAACGTCTCTGGAGGTTATTTTTTTCCTCCTTTGCTGGTACTTTGCTTGTGTGGAGTGACCATTCAAAGTTACAGTGGCACTGAAAAAAGTGACTTATGACCGTTTTTCACACTTACGACTGTTGCAGCATCCCCACAGTCATGAGAGGCCAGGCGAGGAGATGCATGCCTCAATGTGAATGATGTGGAGTTGGCCACGTCACATGACCACCAAGCCATGCCCACCAACTAAGCCACACCCACAGAACTGGTTGTTAAAAAAATTGAATCCCACCTCTGAGCAAGAACTAAACATTCATAGCAGAGGGCAGCTGAATGCCACTTCAGCTGCTTTCACCATCTTATATGGCTGCGACTTGGCAATGATTTGTTCAATACTCTCTCACTGGTTGGATTCACACAAACAGTCTGGAAGCCACGGTGTGGATTTGCGGTTTGGGTTTATTATGCTGTCAGAACGCGGCCATGGATAAAGTTCGCTCATGCAATCCATATTACTGTGTAAATCAAATCGAATCCATGCGTTGGCCAGCCGCAATATTTTTGGCAGCGCATTCACTCATTTCTATTTCCAGTCTTGCCACTTTTATTTTTTTCCAAAGGGCCTCCGGGCAGAAACAAGCCGCAGCTCGAAACGTTGCCACAGACAGAGCAGGCAAGGGTCGAGAGCTGCAGCATGGAAATCTCTCTTTCTTGGCGCTCTCGTTTTTAACTCGCTATTTCAAACACATCCACGGCATCGGTTGCTGGTTCTTCTCCCCACGGGGAGCCTTTTAGATCGGAGGGGGGGATCAACTCACCCAAAAATAAATAAATAAATAATCAATTAATCCCTCCAAATATCTCGGAAGCAGCCCGCGCCAACTCACCGCAAAATAAATAGATAAATAAATAAATAAATCCCTCCAACTATCTCGGAAGCAGCCCGCGCCGCACACCGAATCGGAGGTCCTGCTTCGGGATCTTACTTGGATTCACGCCGGTTCCGTGGGGAGGAGGAGAGGCTGCGGCCCCCGCGGGCAGCTGCAAAAAGACGGCACGGAAGGAAATAAAACGGATCAACTCCACGCCGGTCCCGAAGGTGAAAAGGAAATTGCCCAAAGCCGGGATCATCAGCAGGAACTGCAAAGCAGCCATGGCGCGGGGAAGGGGAAGGAAAAAAAAAAATCAAGAGCTTCTCCCGCCGCCTGGAAAGAACGCCCAGCTGCGGGTGGGGCTTTCCCCGGAATCCGCACGCCCTCCCGTGACGTCACAATCGCGGCGTTCCTCCTCCGCCCCCCCCCCCCCAGCGAGAGGGCTTCCCTAGAATCCCCAGTTCCGCCTTTGTTCTAATGACGTCACATACTTCGGGAGGAGGGGCCGGGGGCGAGAGAGCTCTTCTTGAGAGCCCTTCTTTTCTGACAGTGAGAACAATCAACCAATGGAACAGCTTTGCCCTCGGAAGTTGTGGGAGCGCCATCACTTGAGACCTTCAAGAAGAGATTGGACTGCCGTTTGTCAGAAATGGTGTAGTGGGGTTGGGCTAGATGACCTACAAGGCCCCTTCCAACTCTGATTATCTGTATCTGAGAGATTCCGTGACGCTGAAGCCTATATACGCTGGTAAACTCTGGATCCTTGACGGCACACCAGCAATCCATTCGCTAAAAAAGTAATCATAATAACCTCTCGCGTTCCCATCAAAGCTGCCTAAATCCTACCTCGCTTTTTTCCTTGCATTAGGAAAAAGAAAAGTGTGTATGTGTATAGGGGGGGGGAGGGAGGGAACACACACACACACACACACACACACACACACACACACACACACACACACACACACACACATTAGCTCTATACCTGTGCTTCGCTAGGAAACTATTGTGATTGGGCTTAGTTTTGGGGGAGGAAAATAAGGGGGGGGGGCGGGAATTCTGCCTCTGCCTATCAGCATCCATCGGTTTTCCTCTGGCTAGCATCCTGTCGGGTGTGAGAGAGTTGAGAGCTGTTTGGAAACTGAAACAGTATTTGCTGTGTGAGCAAGGAGACAGCAAGGAGCCTGGGCGTGGCTTAGCTCAACTGTTCTGTACTAAAGCTACTTGCTGCTGTGAAACTGAAACTGAAAATTGAAACTCCTCTCCCCTGCTTGTGTTTTGCATTTGGAAGAGATTACTTTTCAGGTGGGGAGGTGGAGTAGAACTCCTTAGCATCAGAGCATATTAATAATATACGAAATACTAATGCTCGGATGGTCATTTTGGAAAATCCTTTCTTAGTGAGCACCTAGAAGCCAAGAGGAACATATGTGCCAAATTTCAGGTTTGTAGGCTTTACGGTTCTGGAGATTTTGTGATGATGCCTGAGTAGTATTTCGCTTTTATATAGATAGATACACACACACACACACACACACACACACACACACACACACACACAGAGCCATGGCAAGGGGAGAGAGGGGGAGAGAGGGAGAGAGAGAAAGAAAGAGTTGTTTTGTATTCCTGCTGGCCATAAGATATTGCTGGGTGTTTCCTCCCACACCCCTGCTTTTTAATCAGAGAATTCACACACCTGTTTCCAGGGCATTAAATGTCAAATATATGTTTATATACAGGTCCGACAAAACACAGAAGGCGTTGAAATCAGCAGGGGGCAGTAATGTCTAGCAGGACTTATCCCAGATGTTAACCGGCTGGTCCTTGGGTGGGGAAGCTTTGGATTTCTTGGAGGAGGCTGGGAAGGGGATGGGCAGAAGGGGAACACCTGGGCAAGCTGTGCTTTTCCTGTGGCAGGAAAACTGGATGGATGCAGTGCCAGGTGTTGTGACTATCCTGGTTCAAGGCACCTTAATGCGGTTACGAAGCCGTCCGTTTTAAATCTTGAAGATTTATGTGTTGTCATGTCATCTTTGACTCCTAGCAACCACATAAATAGATGTTCTCCATGATGATCTGTCCCTCACGGATTCTTTCAGGCCTTCCAGTGATGACCTCATAGCCTTTGTAACCATCCCAGTGGTGGGATTCAAATTTTTTTACTACTGGTTTTGTGGAGGTGGCTTGGTGGGCGTGACAGGGGAAGAATACTGTAAAATCTCCAGTCAGAGGTGGCATTTGCTGGTTCTCTCAACCACTCAAAATTTCCGCTACCGATTCTCCAGAACTAGTCAGAACCTGCTGACTAGTTACCACCTCTGGTCCATCCCTCTCGCTACTGGTCATCCTTTCTTATCTTTTCTTCCACTTTTCTTTTAAAAGTTATGATGAGGTAAAAATAAAACCTCCAGGAGTCGAGTGTCACCAGCATCATTCAAACATCACAGTCCTCCTGTTAATTTAAATAAACAGATTTTTTAAAAAACGGATGTCCCCAAGTCAAGCTCCATTCCGTATTGCACGGTGACTAATGCTTTTGGATCAGAAAATAAGCCTTTCCCAGTCAAGCATCTTCCAGATATGCGGAGCCCACAGTTTCCAGATTTCCAACCAGTGTGGGCTACCTTGAGCTACCAGTCTGCCCAAATAGTTACACTGTCATCGCAACTGAACGGTATACCTCTAAGAAAAATCAGGTTTCATTCCCTGTTCTGGTGAGATTCCTCTCAAGCCCGGAAGAAGTAAATAGCCAGCAAAGAAGGTTTTGACCATCAGAAGAACTCATGCCCCAAAATAATAATTAATAGGAAAAAAGGCTCCACCTTGGCCTTGTTTCACAACTCAGTTTTACAGCTAAAAGTATCTGCCTGGCTGGTTTGATCTGGCAATGCTGGCGCAGTTGGAGTTCCTTCAGTTAAACAATGCCACGGGTGTCAAACTCGATCGCGTTACATGACATATTGTGACGTTTTTTGCCTTTGCGGAGCCAGAGTGGGCATGGATGTGCATAACGCATCCAGCCTGTGGGCCGCCAATTTGACAGGTCTGAATAATGCCCCCTATTATTAGGACCTGCCCTCTAGAATAAGGTCCCTCGTGAGATCCAGATAGCCCCAACCTCCTGGTGTTTTGAGGAGCTCTTCACTCAGGTCTTTAGCAAGGGAGTGTGGTAGAATGTAGTCTGGATTCCCAGGAGAGAGAAGCTGCATCTCAGAGACAGCAAAGTTTAGATATTTTGGTGGGGAGGAAGAGGGTCAAGACAGCTCCTCACTAGAAATGCTCAGAGTATATCTATAATGTTGCAAGTACAGGTTGTCCTCAACTTACAACAGTTTGCTTAGTGACCATTCAAAATTACAACAGCACTGAAAAAACCGACTTGTGATGGTTTTTCACACTTACGACGGTTGCAGTATCCCCATGGTTATGTGATCAAAATTCAAATGCTTGGGAACGGGTTCATATTAATGACGGTTGCTACATCCCAGGGTCATGTGATCATCTGCTGTGATCTCCTGAGAAGCAAAGTCGATGGGGAAGCTAGATTCACTTATCAACCAGGTTACTAACATAACAACTGCAATGATTCACTTAACAAGTGTGGCAGGAAAAGTCATGAAACGGGGCAAAATTCACTTAACAAAGATCTCGCTTAGCAACATAAATGTTGGGCTTGGTTATGGTCGTAAGGCAAGGACTACCTGTAATTGCTTTAGTTTGGCAAGATTTCTGTTGGGGTTTTTTCGATTTTGGGAGCTTGACAGAGAGAGTGATCTTCACTTTGTTTCCATCTAGTCTATTGATCTTGCCCTCTTTAATCTTTTTCTCCCCTTCCTTTTCTTGGTCTTATTGTGTTTGTTGTCATAATTGTGAGTAGCTCAGTCATTGGCAATCAGGCAATCTACGGCAGAGGTGGTATTCAGCTGGTTCTGACCCGTTCTGGAGAACCGGTAGCGGAAATGTTGAGTAGTTTGGAGAACTGGCAAATACCACCTCTGACTGGAGAAGATTTTACAAAATCCTTCTCCTGCCACGCCTACCAAGCCACGCCCACCGAACCGGTAGTAAAAAAATTTGAATCCCACCACTGATCTACGGTTAATAAATTATTGTTAATATTATTGAAATCAACAAAGGAGGGCCTAATCTATGAAAGAGATACCAGCTCACACACCTGCCCTTTTTCCTGGTTTCTGAGGGACTTGGCACAATCCTTCTTCAAAAAGCAGATACTACTCTTTAAAAAAAAAAGCAGAGACTATTATTAATAATTAAATCACCTATCATCGCATCTGGTTATATAAAGTGTATCTGATGTAATTTATATTATAAATCAGAGATTAGTTAGTGATCAAATAAACAGGCTGTCTCTATGATATGCATTAAGACACACTTTACCTTTGAATGCAAGACACCAGTTCTTGATTATCTAGGTGTAAAGCATAGGTTCAATTTGAATTGTTATATAATGGGTTCGTGCTCCAAATATTTAAATATTTCAAACTTAAACACACATTAGCAAAGGGATGTGACTCATATCTTTAAGATAACAGTGAGTTATTTTGGCAGTCTGTGAGCTCCAGTTCTTGAAACAAGTTAATGTATACAACGTGATGGCATTTTTTTGGACTTCCAAACTGTTTTTATGGATGAGTTCTTTAGCCCTACATAAAATTTTGATCCCACATCATCCCCCTTCCTCAAATGTTTTCAGATTCATCAGGCGTGATGTTGATGTTTTATGCTTTTACAATGTTATACTTGTAATCCCGTCCGTTATTTTTTTCCCAGCTCACTTTGGCAAGAATATTTTCCGTTTGCATCTTTGGTAACTACAGTATAGCAACTTCTCAACTTACGACCAGTTGTTTACCAACTGTTTGAGGTTACAATGGACCACCACCCAAGAGACTTAGAACCGAGTTTGGAAGTTCTGATGTTGTGCCCACTCCTTCATGGTCATTGACTCCATTTTAGGTACTTGCAACCGGTCCACATTTAGAATAGAATAGAGTAATCGAGTTGGAAGGGACTTTGGAGGTCTTCTAGTCCAGAGGTGGGATTCAGTTGCTTCGGCCTGGTTCAGGAGAACTATCTGGTTTGCCAAACTGGTAGTTGAACTGAACTGGTAGTTGAACCAACTGCCTACCCCTCCCCTGAGTCTCCACATGGCCTGTTTTGGATGTAGATAAGTCCAGGGTCTGCACGGAGGTTCTCGGAGGGTGAAAAACAGGCCGAAATGGAAGTTCCAGAAATGGGCCTGTTTCTGGCTTCCGGAGCCTGGGGGAG